GAGACCCATGCCAGTGCTGAGATGCTTCCACCACCACTGGATCCACAAGACTTTCCACTGACTGGCCTGTGATCTTCCTGCATTTGGCTGTGGAGTCTAAAGAGTAATTTATGGACTAGTATTGACATATGGGGTAATATTGGACTTATGGACTTGATCTGGACTTGGCTGGGATGTTTTCACAATGTCCAATTGCTCTTTTATATAAAGCTCTTTCTTATACACATATGAGTCTTCCTGGATATGTTTCTCTAGTCTACCCAGACTAACACAGAAGTACATGTGATTTCTCCCCAAGTGATGGTAATTTCTTGGCATCCAGGGATGCTGTGTGATATACAGGGCAGACAGAACTGGGGACCATGGGGTAGAGTTCAGAAAGGCAATACTTGGTCATCTGGGCTGGGTTAGAAAGGCCTGGTGGGCTGACTACACTGAACATCAGTGTGTGTGTGTGTGTGTGTGTGTGTGTGTGTGTGTCTAGTGAAGCTGGAATCTTTCATTGGTCCACAGTGGAACCTATATTGGCCAAGGAATACTGGGCCTGAAGTAACAGCATTGTGACCTTGGAGAAGTCACTAGAATTCTCTAAGCCTTAGAGCCCTTTCTGCATGAACCCTGTGGTTCTAGGTTTCAAATCCATTACTTAGCTCTAGAGATAAAAACAAACAGACCAACAAAAATTGGGTTGATGAGAGTCCTGGGCTCTCAAGTCAGGAGCAGGGACACTGGGCCGGGAGAAGATAACTCACCCTCTCGGGACATCGCCTCTGTCCTTAGGAGGTAGGAGGAAGGAAGATCTGAACCATGAGGAAGTCACATGGGGCCTGTTGTCAAGTTGGGAAACAGACCAGGAGCCACACTCACCACAAGTACCTGCTCCTGGGTACTAGATGGCAGTGTGGAACACCCTGGGTGACAGATGGGTGCATCTAATTTCCACAGACTTTAGCTTGCAACAAGGAAGCCACAGAGCAAGTGTGGAGCCCTACGGGAACGTGTAATGAGGCCACCAGAGGACTGATGGCTTGGAGGCCTCTGTCTCTTCATGGGTGGTCTCTGCTCCAAGCATAATCTGGGAGAGATCCAGGGGCCCGGTTGAACCTTCAAGCCATTGTTCCTAGGCTAGGAAAAGACTTTGGATGTTTGATGGGGAACAGGTGAATAAGTATTTAAGTCTGCAATACTCTCAGAAGGGAAGAGAGATAGATAGATGATAGATAGATAGATAGATAGATAGATAGATAGATAGATAGATAGATAGATAGATAGATAGAAAGATAGAAAGATAGATAAAGAAAAATGCACCATTCTCGCCTCAGACACATAATTATATAAAAGAAAGATTTGAAAGCATCTTGGGGCTTCACCAACACGATACCAGAAATCAAGTGCCCCTTTCACCCCCAACCTTGGGAGAAAGCATGCTATTTTAGAATGAGTCAGGGGTTCTTTATAAAATTTAGAACGAACTCTCTCTCATTTTTACAAATCATTTTTGGGGGGCCTCTTACAGCTCTTATAACAATCCATGTATCCATTGTAGCAAGCACATTTGTACATATGATGCCATCATCCTTTTCAAAACATTTTCTTGCTACTTGAGCCCTTGGTATCACCTCCTCTTTTTTCCCTCCCTCCCCAGCCCTCCCACCCTTGTGACCTCTTGATAAATCAGAAATCATTGTTATTTTCATATCTTACATCGTCTGCTGTCTCTCTTCACCCACATTTCTGTTTTCATCCCCCCTGGGGAGGTGATCATTGTGATTGGTTCCCCCTTTCTCCTCCCACATTTCCCCTACCCTCATGGTATCATTACTCCCATTACTGTACCTGAGGGTTCATCTGTCCTGGATTCCGTATGTTGAGAGCTCTTATCTGGACCAGTGTCCATGCTCTGGTCTAGCCGGATTTGTATACTTCTACCTTGGGGGTAGAACTATCATGGGGTAGGGGTGGGGGAGAGGAAGCATTCAAGAACTAGAGGAATGTTGTGTGTTTCCTAGGTGCCATATTCTCTTGATAATGTTAAGAACTTAGGTCTGAGAGAGAAAGAAGTCTGACCTTAGTATAGAGTGAAGAGGTGGGCATCTCCAGACCCAGCTAAGCCTCTTTTCTCTCTCTCTCCATAAACCTGGAACTTTTTGCTTAAGCCCTCTCGGGTGCCACCACTGCCCAGAGAATCCAGGGAGTGTAGAGCAGCATTGGCTAGAGTGAGAACAGATGCCCAGAGCCTGGCAGGATACGGCTCATGTTCTAGTCTTCTCATTATCCAATCTGTGGCTTGGAGTGCCAGAGAACAGCCACCCACACTGTTGTGACCTTCAATGACCCAGAGAAGATTCCCTTGTCATAGCAGAAAATGCCTTCTTCTTTTTTACTAGCGGAAAGAGTGATCATGTCTTAACTAAGGACTGTGTGTGTGTGTGTATGTGTGTGTGAACTCGCCCAGTGTCTATGTCTGCAGGCCCTGCCCCTAGCTTCCCAGCAGGACCAGTCTGCAGTCAGCCAGCCAGCTATTCTGTGAGGCATAGAATGATGCTAGAATAAGTGGGTCCCTTCCCTCTTTCTGGGCCCCATGCTTATTTATCCAAGCCGCCCCAGGAGCCGCCTAGAACTTCCACCCATCAACGGAGGCCCACCTCATAAGACAGTGAGGTTTCCCACAAGGATAGATTTTTTCCACCTGAGTGCCCACAAACGGATCAAGGAGATGTCAGATAATTATCTGTGGGAAGCTGATGTGCTAAAATCATATTGATTAAAACAGTAATGACTAACACACCAACTCCGGGCCCTCCTTCTGTCTCTCAGTATCTGGATGCAGATACACTTTCTCAAGAGCCATCTAGATCCAGGAGATGCATCTAGATGCCTCTGAACCACTTACTTGGTAGGCCCGTATCCAGTCTTCTCACTGTGAGCAACAGTTATCAGAATGTTGTTTCACACTGGAAGTCTGGTCGTGTATTCATTTTGTAAGTCCCCAGACTGCTCCAAGTGTGTTTCCACCTGGTTTTCCTCTAACCAAATGGGAGTAGGGGGGCGGAGTTTTTAAATTGAGGACAGGAACCACCAGTTGGCTGGATCCACTGTCTTGACTCCTCCCCTCTCAAAACCAAGACAAAACCAAACCAACCCCTTGTTCACTCAGGTGATAAAGATGGATCTAACTGCGGGAAAATATAGCTCAGGCTTAAACACAGGGAAGCAGTGCGTGTTTGCATCCACCTAAGGATAATCACCTCACTTCTGGGAAGGGAACGAACCTGATGTAAAACCATTCCGCCTTTGAGTTACAGGGTTTGACTGAGCCAGGTCCGGTGAGCTGTGGTTTTCTGGTCTCAAACACCGTTAGCCTTTCGGTTTTCAGTCTTAGACTTCAGCTCAATAGTGTCCTGTCTGAAACCAAGAAATGGGCTTCGAGAACTCCTCTTAAGAAACATCCGTTTGGACTTTGAGAAAAGCCCGAGCACTCAGCGAAACCTCGGGAGGGGGCAGGAAAGCAGCTGCTACTACGGAGAGCTGGCCGGCCACCTCTTTCGTGGAAGCTATTCGTGCTTCCGAACTCCCTCGGGGTGAAAGTTAAGGCTTTGCTTCTGACAGGAACTGCCCTGACCTTGAAAGCGTTCCTTTGTTGCCCTAAACTGAAGAAGGCAACTTGCGTTGCGGTCTGTGATCTGCGCCATCAGGCAACAAACGCGCATTTTGGGGCCAGTCTTTCTTTGGGAACGAAAAAGGATCGAGGAAGGGAAAGGCGTCCGGGGCTGGTCGCGCTGGCCAGGCAGAACGGTGAGCGCGACCCAGGCTTTGAAAACGCTTCACACTTTGTGCGCTTTCACGTCCGCGCCTTCCCACTCAGAACCGCCTCGAGTCTTGATTTGGTTTGCTCTCGGAAAATTAAAAAAACAGAAACAAAACAAAAAACGTGCCCCACTGAGCTGCTCTTAGAGGCACACCCCCGCCCAAATCCCTACTCGCCCCGCCGTTTCCTCATTTCTGTTTTTCCGGCGGGGCAGGAGGCTGCGTCTCTCCGGGGCAGGGACGTGGCACGAGAGTCTGGCTTCCGAGCGGCGTCCCGCAGGCGCGCCCAGGGGATCGGCGCGGGGTCGCCGGTGTCCCACGTCTTCAGAGCGAACCGCCCATCCACACTCGGCAAACTTGACCGGAGTGTGCTTACAAGGGGGGGAAGGGACAGAAGTCCCCCCAGGGAAATTCTACCCAGCGCGCCCTCCCGGGGGCGGAGGCTGACGAAATCCACCAAACTGGTGCTGTACTGGAGTCTAGCGGGAAGCCTTTGGGCGCCAGCCCCGACCCCCACCCCCAACCCACCCCCAAAAGAGGAGACAACCCCGCGGATGATCACCTCACAGCTCTCCGAGGCTCCCAGAGCGCATCCCTCAGTCCATAGGTAGCTGCGGGAGAAGGGGTCCCCCACTGTGCGCTCAGCCCAGCGACTGTCCCCGTGGGCTGCAGGTGTGTGTGGGCTGCACTGGGGACAGGTGCCCACGGACGCTCGAGGGTCGGGGGGAGGCGAGAGGGGAGGAGAGGGAGGAGCCCTGGGGCTGCACGAGCCCCGCCTCTGCGTCTTCCCCCCCTCCCCAAGCCCCCGAAGGGAGGAGAGTACCCCCGCCGCGGGCCGGGCCTCCCTCCCCCGCGGGCACCCCGCACCCAGTGATTGGCTGGCGCGGCGGGTCCCTGGCACGCGCCGGTGGTGTAGTTATAAGACTCCTCGCGTGCCGGCCCTCCGCCCCAGCGCGTCCGCCAGCGGCCTCCCCAGCGCAGCACGGGCGCGAGCCAGAGCGCAGCGGCCGCGGGCACGCCCGGCCAGGCCGAGGCCAGCTCCCGCCGGCCCTCCAGCTCACGGTTCTCGAGGGAGCGGGAGCGGGCGGCCGGAAGGAACAGCCCGCCAAATAAAATTACTAAAGCAATCCCCTCGGGCCATCAGTGTCCCCTCACGCCACCCCCACACCTCTCGAGGCCCGGCGGCGGCGAGCATGGACGCGGTGCTGCTAGAACACTTCCCCGGGGGCATGGACGCCTTCGCCTCGCCCTACTTCGACGAGGACGACTTCTTCACCGACCAGTCCTCCCGGGACCCGCTGGAGGACGGCGATGAGCTGCTGGCCGACGAGCGGGCCGAGGTGGAGTTCCTCAGCCACCAGCTGCACGAGTACTGCT